CTAGCAAGGAGATCGGGCTGAAACTATAGCTACAAGCTATCCAAGGATGGTACTATAGAATGTCACCTCAAGGTAGGCCTAGTGGCGTCATCTCTTGGTTAGGCCGGAAACTTATCAATCCACCCTCGTAGAATCTAAAAATGTAAAAACATACAGGCTGTTCCATTTAAAAAAATACAACTGATACATATTGTTCTTTTGGGACACCTCGTATATTATGAAAATAATTTTAAAATATACCACTTATGGGTCCCCATCCGCCATAACAAAACTTTTTAAAAATCCAGGAACATAGCCGTAATCTTTCGTATCGTGTAACGTAAATAACCCTGTATATTGATTACGAATGGGGTTGTTGGACTATTAGCCAGTTTTTATTTTGTCACGTAACAGGTATGATAATTTTTATATTTCTTTATTATCGTGAGCAAGTTTGTCTGCGGTGATATTATTGTAAATAAACGAGGTGTTAGGAAGGTCTTTAAAGGGTCATAAACATATACGTTTGTGCCTATGTATCGCTCTAAAGCCGCTCGGCGACGATGCCACGGGGGACGCGCTTTTGTACAAGCTCGTCGACGACCGAAGCAATCGTTATCGGCGCAGGCGGCGCTGCTGTCGTCCTTTCGCGGTTAGAAAGAGACGTTTCCGATGCGACGCCGCACGACTGACGGAGACGGACTGCGAAAAAGCGGCCGACGACGCCGTGGCGTCGTTTCATAGCGACGCGCACGACGCGGCCGACGGCGTGTGGGGGAGAGATATCGCCTGATAAAACAGATCCGGCTTGTCGGCAGTACGTTTAGTTGTCGTACGAGGTTTTATCAGAGTGGTGTCAGATAGAGTTAAGTTAATCGTTATCATCACCTTACATCGCAATCGTCTGTCGTTTCATTATCTAGAACATTTGTGGTTTTGTCGAAAAATGTACTGTATTCGCAATAGTTGTCAATTAATTTTGTGTCAAACCTGAGACAGAAGAGAGTGAAAGTGAATTGAATTCTTAAGTATTCTCATTGAGCTTCTTGGACTGCTGGTGGGGCGCGCAAAGTGAGTATCTACGCGTTGCTGTCACTAAAATTTTGTGAAAAATGTTCAGACCGGGTCTGATGGATGTTGTTTTAGCAAAACGAATTATCAACAGTGTGATAATAACAAAACAAATTAATATTAATATAACCCGTATTTCTTGTAATCTACTAATTTATTAATCTTTGATGAATAAGACAATAAAATGCTTCTGTACCCAGTGAAATTGTAAAATTGTATCTCCTAAACCGTTACAGAAAACTTTACAGAAACCTACTTTATCAGCCCCTTAAATAAGTACCATACGATTCCACTCTCCATTAGTCTTGTTGTGATTTGTAACTTGTACATTCACAAGTAATTGGAAATAAAAAATTGTAGTCGATGAACATTTAATAATGGTAGCGGGAAGTATTTCTAAACTCCTTTCGGCCGTTTCAATGTTTTTTTTTTCCGCAATGTTTTTGATTTTTTATTAAAGAAACTAAACATGTGTTGGTGTGCTTGGTTTACATATTATGTATAATTGTGTATACTTACCTGGGCTGTTTATCTCTCTGTCCCTACATATCAGAAGCTGGATTATTTGTTTTATCTTATCGCAGCTACCAGCTCGTTGAACGTTTTATATTTAGGCAAAAAACCTTCGAAATGATGACAGTTAAAAGGCTTCCAAGTACTGTTTGGCGCCTTGTTCTCAAATTGAATAAAACCGGTTAAATGATATTTACGAAAAATTATTTTTTCCCCATATATTAATTTGTATATGTATTGTGTAGACATTTAATAACTTACATCCTCAGTTTAACTTTACCCAATTGGTGTTAAAAACATTATTTTCATTATATACTGATTGAGATTAAGAACTGAGCTAATCTTCGCATTTCCCTAAAACTAGAACATTCCACATCCTTAACTATTTCCGAACAGAAGTCTAATATAAGTCTACCTCTACTCCTCTTAACTCCCGTTTCTGCCTCTCATATGTCTCTGACTAGACCTTCATGCCTGAGAAGGTGTCCTACCAACCTATCTCGCCTATTTTTTATTGATTTCCATAGAGTCCTCTGTTCTCCNAAATTATTTAATAACATAAGGGATTGGAAACGAAAAAAATAAAAAATAAACTAAAACGAAATAATACAGGACGCGGTTTTTTTAACAATTTCGGAAAGATGAAACAGTTCTTATACAACTAAATGTGGCTTAGTAACTCCAACATTTGCTAGTAATTGGGGATACATTCATGTTTAACAAGTTCATTTTTACTGATCACTATTTTAATCTCCTTTTATCAGTAATTAAATATAAATGGTCAATATTTAAATCCACGTGGTACAACTAATTAACTAAATTAACTCATAAAATAATTTAACCCGTAATTATGTAATTCCATTCGGATCGTTTTTTATTTACACTAGCCATTCATACTTATGTACTGACCGGTTCTTTATACTGATCATTTCGAGAATAAAGGTCATAAGGTCTTCAGTTCAAAGTGTAGACGCGCACTATTTGCGAAGAGTAATCTAATCTAGGTGTACATCTGCCCCTCTCAACTCCTGCTTATTATACTATTCATCCTATTGGCCCGTTGCTTCGTAAGCGAAAATAATAAAAGTTACAATTTGGACCCGAATTTGTAAAAATAAAATCCCAACAGAAATAAATTTACTAAGTATTTTATTTAATATTACAAATTAAATAAAAATTGAGATTGTTACAAGTTACCTAATAAGTTCTACTATTTCTACGACAAATTCAGTAATTTACAGCCGAAAATTGTAATTTTTGCGTTGTCATAAAAATTTAGTATTCTCCGTGTAATGCGTTTGTTATTTTTTTATTTACTGGTAGTTGAAAGAAAAAATAACAGTTATTATACGGGTACTTATATGTGCATGTAACGTTTGGTTTATGATACCATAGACTGGTCTTCTTTTAAACGTTTCAGAAGCATCATTAAACTGCAATTATTATGGCTTTTAAGGTAATAAACGTTTTTATTGTTCGTATGTTTTGTTCTTTGGTTGACAGATGGAGATATTATCGATTACCGTTTATATTATCTGCTGTTGCATATTATCAGTTTTATCGGGCTTAATTCAAACTTAACATCTTATCTTATCACCATTCCCTTAATACAATTTTCATTGTAAAACTGCCACCGAGTTCGGTTATTTCATTTACTGTTATTATTATTGGTTTATTTATTGCGAACTGATAAACTAAAAATTCCAATAAAACGGCCGAGATTTACTGCTGAAAGCAAATACTTTTAGCTTTAAGAGTGGCTCTTGTCTGATGATTTACCCGTGAAAAATGTCCGGGTTTATGAGATAAATAACTCACCGCGAAAACCAACTCCAAAAATACGGTCGTGTTCTTTTCTAACATATGGTCTATGGATTTTGCCAAAATTGCGAAATATTCCTAATATATAAAGACGAAGATATTTCACTTCACATTTCTTTTTTTTCTCATTCTAAGTATAAAATAAATCATAACCGAAACTGTGCAGTCTATACCAGGTATGACCAGAGTTAGATAAAAATGTGCAAATTTAAATGATGTTGGATACTTGGGCGATGATTTAGCAACACTAACCTGCAGATTTTCCTTCGAAATTCATCATCATAAAGTCGTCAGTCCTAAGACTGGTTGGACACGCACCTCCACTCCTTCCTATCCTGAACTAATCTTCGCATTTCCCTAAAACGAGAACAATCCACATCCTTTACCTCTACTCCTCCTAACTCCCGTTTCTGCCACTAATATGTCTCTGACTACACCTTCATGCCTGAAAAGGTGTACTACCAACCCATCCTATTTCTTATTGACTGCTATAGACTCCTCTGTTCTCCTAGTTTTTCTAATACCTCTTCATTTCTAACCTTCTCTATACACGGTATCCTCATCATTCGCCTATAACACCACATTTCAAACGCTTCTAATTTTTTCTTTTCCACAGCGCCCATTGTCCATGTTTGGCACCCGTCCAGCGCCGCGCTTCAAACATACACCTTTAACAACCTTTTTCTTATTTCTAAATTAACCGTTAGCAAGCATAGAAGTGACTTCTTTTTATTGAAGGCGGCTCGACCCTGTGCTATCCTCTGCTTTATATCCCCACTAATCCTTCCGTCCTGACTTATCGGTCTTCCTAGATAACTTAAATCAGTACTCCTTATTTTTCGTCTCCTATCTTTATATTCGCTCTTTCCCTACTTTTTCTTCCCTTACTTTTATTTATTTTCATACAGTACTGTTCTGTAGTAGTAGTAGAAAACCACTATGAAAGTCTACCTAAAATCGTAGGTAGAATTCGAAACCGTCATAATATACGGGGCGTTCAATTTAAAATAACGAAGTTGTTGTCAACTTCCAGTATAATCGGACGTTCTACATAGATGCCGTTATTTTAATTGAGGAGAGCATACTTACATTTGTCGAAATTTCAAAAATTCGAATCTAAATAATTTCCGAAATATTCTAATGATCGGTCACCGTGAGACACCCTGTATACCTGCAGATAACGGCGGGGGTGGCGGACACTTGTGAAAGAGGCGGAAATATAGGGATATAAATACCATGTTGAGAGCATGTAAACCTCAACTAAAGAAAATATGGATCTTTACTAGGTATGGTAAATATCGACATCTAATTTGCATCAATACTGTTTGACATGTTTGTTCGTAGAATATTTAACTATCACGATCGTCGACCTAACTACGTACCTTGTATTTGCAGACAAAATTGCGTTGAATTATCTTATGATGCAACGTCCAAAAGGTTAATACGTACATAAATACCCCTGGCGTGAAACCATTCATAACCGAACGAATCGCCCGAATAAAAAATTAAAAGGTCGTGAAATAATTCAGCCGGTGCAGCCAGTTCGTAGCGAAAGCACGCGATACTTTGAGACCTTATAAATATTCAGATAAAAATTGATTTAAATCAATTTATGTATAATCGGTCATTTATATAATATCGAAATAGTACAATATAACTTATAACTATAAATATCGAGTAAGAATTCTTGTTAAGGTATACGAGGGCGGTTCAATAAGTTCCCATGTTAGAAATGAAGACACCTTTTTTTAAAGTTTTTTTTTTTATTTTTCAACATAGTCCCCTTTTAGAAAGATACACTTCTCCCAACGACCCTGCCATTTTTTTTACTCCTCCAAAAAATAAGATTTGTCAAACTCTCCAAAATGCCCTCCTGTCTCGGCGATGACTTCTTCGTTTGAGCTAAATTTCTTTCTCGCTAGCTATTTCTTCATGGTAGGGAACAAGATGAAGTCGCAGGGAGTAAAATCGGGGTGTGCGGCAGCAAATTCATAACGTAATTCATGCATTTTGGCGGCAACAACTCCTGCCGGTGCGTTATCGTGTTGAAAACGCATCTTCTTTTTCGTCAAATGCGTCCGTGTCTCCTTCAATTTTTTGTCGAAGCGGTCCAATAACTCACTGTAGTATTCTCCAGTGATAGTTCTTTCTTTTCCTAAAAAATCCGTAAAATGATTTCCTCGGTGACAACGTTTGCCAGGCTTCCTGGTCGCTCCTATCAAAAACGGATCTTTGCCAATGTTTAAATTCGTTGAAGCAATATCTAACTGTGGTCGTAGATGGCGAAATGTCTCCATAAACAGTATCCAACTTTGGTTTCATCTTCTCGCATTTTTTGCCATCCAAAAACAAAAAGCGAGTATCTTTCGGTGATACTGCTCTTTTTCCATCTTAGCGAAAATAACGAAACACGTCTCAGTCGAATGACTGCCAAATCCAAACTAACCTATCAATCCGTCTGAAATTCGTTTTGGCGTGGTTTGATAGATGGCAGTACACGATGACAACACCAATTTCCCTCGGAAACGTCCTCTGTCTTCAAACACGGGTACTTATTGAACCGCCCTCGTAGTTCACACAATACAAAAATCGTTTCACCTATTCTACGATTTTTTTACAGAAAAAGATAATGCGAACACTGGAGTGATTCTTCCAGATGTTTATTC